ACCTTTAAAATGAAGGTAACTGCATTACATATGAACTTAATAAATTCGACCGCACATTTCTGCCTTTGTTTCTTCTCCCTTCATCACAAGCACCACGGCGTCGCTTCAGTCTATTAGCTTTCCTCGGTAAATTTAAGGGCAACATACAACAACGAAAAACAAGTACAAGAGAAAATAGAAATAAAAAATAACTTAGATCAAGGAAATACATCGCTAACTGTAAGTAAGCTTTTGACACCGTGGTGAATCTGCACGTCACAAGCTCATTCAACCAAAGAACATACGTGCTTAAACCACTCGGCAAACTACAGATCATACTATTCTATAGTACCCCCAGCGACACCGCACAGAAACAAGTCCAAAAGGAAGAACATTGGGCAGAGTTACTGCTATTTTTATACAAGGTACACACAAATAAAAAAAAAAACAGTTACACCGCAGGCTCATTTGACACTTTTCTCGGATCCGAACTACATGTTCCGTCCACATACTGCTCAATAACATTTCCACCGTAAGCCTTCGACACGCAGCCGAACATATCCGTCCACTGCATAAACTTGTGCGACGCCACCTTGACAATATCTTGAATAAACCACCACACAATGCAGTAAATCCACACCCACAGCGGCAAGAGCCTCTCGCTGTTGGTATTTCCCCACGCAAGACCCTCCGTCAGCAAACCATCCGGACGCGACTCGTGCCAAAATGAGGCCACCACTGATGACACCATCAGCGAGATAACCGCACCAGTGAGCAGGACAAAGCCAGGCATCATCGAAAAGAACCACTCCCCACCGGTACGTGATGAAAAGAGAGTCAAGAAATCGGAGATGGAAATCTTGAGGTACAGTAGTGTCACAACCTTGCCCTGCTTCAGCTGTGCGAGACCAAGATGCTTAAACCAGGAGTGATGGTAGGACTCATCACTCCAAGCCTCAAGCGCAATCCACAACAACATCAGTGAAGAAGCACAAGCCACGACAGCCAGGACAATCGCAATCGTAAACACAACAGGGAGGTTCCATCTCTGCGGCAACTTGGAGGGTACCACGCGATCATAGCCTATCGTCATCAAGCAACCATCATTCAGAAGCGTGATCAACATAAACATCAGCACGGGAAGATGGAAGAACTGGAAATCAGGATCAACACTGCCATAGTTGCGGGGCGTCAAAGAGAAACAAGCAATAAAAAAGAAGCACACAAGCTGCAATGTGGCAGAGATACGGTACGTCAAGAAGGAGAGCATGCGTTGGAACACCTGCCGGGACACAAGCATCGCCTCAACCACAACACTCAGCCCAGGACCAGTCAGCACCATGTCCGCCGCTGCACGCGCAGCATCTGTCGCACCCTGCACAGCAACACCCACATCCGCACGCTTCAGGGCGGGGGCGTCGTTCACGCCATCACCCGTCATTGCACAGGTAAAGCCGTGCTGACGCAGAACCTCAACGATCATGAACTTGTGCTCTGGGAACACTTGCGCAAAGCCACCAACACCAACTATCATTTCCCCGTATTTTTTACCAAGATCATCCGGCATATTGTGCACGTCCACCTTGGGCAGCTTGTCAGCCGTTAGGATGTTCGGGTCAAGGCGAAGCATACGACACATCTCCTTTGCAATCAACACGTGGTCACCAGTAATCATCTTTACGTCCACACCGTACTGCTTGCTTCGGCGAATCGTATCCTTCGTGTCAGGGCGTGGGGGGTCAAGGAAGGTCAGAATGCCACACAGATGCCATCGACCCTGTGCATCCGTCTTGGCCACTGAAAGGCAGCGGATGCCACGCGCGGCAAGGCTGTCAATGATATCCACCACCTGGTCGTTGATCTCGTCCTGGTTGTACACCAACTGGATGATCACGTGCGGTGCGCCCTTCGTCACGCTGAACTGCTCGTTGGTCCGCTTGTCAATCAAGGTGGCGGCCGTGCGCTTCGTCGTCGGATCGAACGGCACAAACTCGATCTGCGTGTAGTTGTCACACTCGTCCAAGTCTGCGGCTCCCAGCACCATTGTGTCCAGGGCATCACGAGGAGGCTCACGCCACTTCGCAGCAAGTGCTGCCAACACAAGCACAGAGTGCAGGTCGTAGCCCTCCTCAAAAGTGAAGCACTGATCCTGGATCTCCATTTTGTTCAGTGTCAGCGTCCCCGTCTTGTCGGAGCACAGCATGTTCACACCCGACATCATCTCAATTGCCGTCAGCTTCGTCACAATGATCTTGTGCTTCGACAACTTCTTTGAACCCACGGCAAGCGTCGTTGTCACAACAATCTCAAGGGCAATCGGAATAGACACCACAAGCACCACCACGGCAAACTGTAGTGCACGACGGAACGTCGCACCAAACTTCACCATCAGATAGATGAAGCATGTGAGACATAGGACAAACGAAAAGCTCGTCAGCACCACCATCACCCGCGCAAGAATCACATGGATGTTGCCAAGATCGGATTCCACAGACTGTAGCAGCACCGCCGTCTTGCCAAAGAAGGTGCTCTGTCCTGTGTACTGCACCGTTGCGTCCACCTCACCACGCACAACGTTCGAGCCCATCTTTGGCATGTGATCCGTTCCCATCGTCACAGGAAGCGACTCACCCGTAAGGGCCGCCTCGTCCACCTCGATCACACCCTCGTTGATGCTGCAGTCAGCAGGGACCGCGGAGCCGGATGCAAGCTTCACAAGATCGCCAGGCACCAGTAGGCGGGCATCCAGCTGTTGCCACTTCCCGTCACGGAAGACGGTCGCCACGGGCTTCAGCGAGTTCTTCAGCGCAGCCACGGCGTCACCCGCCTTGATTGTCTCGTACCACCCAATCGTGGCGTTGGCTAGCTGGATGACAAGAAGAATGGCACCATCGGGCCAGTTCTCCAGCGCGAATTCAATAATGATGGCGACCCACAGCGCAAAGGGCATGGGACCCCACAAGTTACGCACAAATATCAGCCAGCCAGGTGTCGTCTTCTCAGGGAGCTCGTTGCGGCCAAATTTGACAAGTAACTCTTCGGCTTCAGCACTCGTCAGGCCATTTGATGGCGGTAGAATTGGCACTTCATCAACGTCGTCTTCATTGTGCTCGGTAATGGCCTTGGAGAGAACCGACTGACGCCTCTTCGGCTTCTGTGGTGGGAGCTCTTCGTCGGGATAGCCACCATCGCCGTTCTTAAACACCGTCTCCTCGTTCTTATTACTCATGTTTGCACTCATGTTTGCTCCTTAAATTGATTCGCGCTACAAAAAAAAAAAACAACAACTTACCACTAGTAGTAAAGGTTGGGTTAACGAGAGAGAAGCCAGAACTGTTTTTGGTTGTGACACTGTTGCAAGCCATGTTCGCAGGCAATGCGGCGTGTATCAATGTTTCCTGTACCCGTTACATTAATTCTTTTTGCCTGTGCGTTATTTATAATTGCTTTTGATGTCGTCCATAGCTTCCACCGGTTTGCCTTCTTACAGTTAGCAGAGTTTTGGAGGAAGCACAAATTATTTGTCTTCTTAGACTTT